TGCAGTTGAGGAAGAACTTTATTTTTAAATTGCTGTATAAGTGACCTTTACTGTATAATGCTTTTGCAAGTGCTTTAGGCTATTTTGAAACTAATCAATTTTTTTCAAGCTTACATGCCTTAACTTAAATTGGTTAGATTGAAACAGATCAGTAAAAAGCAATTAAATGTATTTTGGATTTAAAGACCAATGCTTGAAGTGGTTCCTCAACAAGAGTTAAATAAAAGACTTTCCAAGTTTTCATAGTTATTGATTCCTACAGTGTTAGCCTAAGTAGCCAGAATCTCTGCAAAAAATACAAGTTACCTTTACACAGGTACTGAAATGTGGCAGCTACAGTTACATATCTAATATAAAGCACTAAGAGATGGTTTTGAGAATGGTCTGCTTGTCTGTGGTGGTAAGCCTTGATTTCAAATCTTGAGGATGCCCTGGCAGAAGGTACATATGTGATGTCTTTACTTAACTAATGGAATAAATTAACTAGGATTGCAGTAAATTTTTCACAACTGCAAGTCTTTAAATCAAATGTAGTTTTCTTCTGAGAAGACATACTAGCCTTAGCTTTGAGTTTGATGCAGAAATCAATGAAAAACCTCCAAGGCTTGTGTTGCGTAGCTGACAACTGTAGGACCCTGTAGTTTCATCAGGCTTCAAAAACTCTGGTGTGTTAAAAGAGTAGATCCAAAGGTTCCTCCTTTTTCTTCTGATCAGGCAAAGCAGAAACTGAGATTCTGTAAAAACCGAGCAACTTGGATTTGTTTGGTTAAATGTCCCTTATATGTTTAAAAAAAAATAATCAGAATGAAACAGTATTGCATCGGTATGCATTTAGGAAAGTCAGAGGAAGTCCATCAAAAGAAAAAAAGAAATAGGTTAATGTATTGTACTGGGAATCTGATGGTAAGTAGTATAGAATATGTACCTTGCAGTGAATGCCCACTTGTTCTCGTGCAGATTTGCCTTTCAGTTAAAGTATTTTTAAAGCAGGCATCCTTAAATCATATTGAAAATAAATATTTAAAATATAGGAAAAGCACATGTGCATTTTAATTAGCTTTATAACCCTACAAACAGGTTTGGATGATACCAAAAGCAAAGTGACCTTCCTATTCTTCCTCTCTTGATCTTGATGTCAATATTTACAATCCCGTGACCTTTTCCATGTCGATATCTGTTTGTGTTTGTGTGTTTCTGTGCAGTTCTGTGCAAAGCACAGTAAGATAAGTGTGAACTCCATTTAACCTCTTGACAATCCTTTGTAAGTATCTGGAAAATACATTTCTCATAAAATCTCTGAAAATTCTTAGTTTATTTTCTAAAGCATCAGCTTTGCCTTTGATTGTATTTACTGTGTTTAAGTTTGGTACTAAATGAAGGTTTCAGACCCCATAACATTTACTGTCCTGCTGCTGCCCAGTTTAATTACATGTTGAGAGTGTCCAGTTTCTTATTTCTAGTTATAATCCTGTTCTACTAAGTATTTGTATTTATGCTTGCTTGATAGAGGTTCAATATATGTACATTTTAGGTGGAAGAAGTGCCAGCTGTACCCATGATTGGGAGATCTAAAACTTCTTCAAATGAATGATGGAAGTAAAACTGCTTATTCACAGAAGTCTCTCAGAGACAGAACCATTATAATTTAATTGAGTAAAGCACATTCATATGCCTTTGTATATTTGATTTCCTAATCAGTGGCTGAATTATTACTTGCATTCTATGCAGAATCTGGAGCCTTTCCTAGAGAACTTGGATATTCCATAACAGAAAGCTAGGATCTGCCTTTAAAGAATGTTTTTTTGTGAATTAAACATCATTACTTTCATAAGTGGTCACAAAAAGAATTTGCAGCCTTGCTAAATAATGGAAATCAAGGGGAAAAGGAAAAAGGTGATTAATTTGATATCATTAATGATTATAACCTTGGAGAGTGTGAGTTTACAGGTCAGAAAACACAGTAGCAAAACATGAAATAGGAAACAGCAGAACTCAGTTTAAAAAGTGAAGTCAAAAGAAAGACACACCAAAAAGTTAAGATAGAAGTACACCAATTGAATGTATTTGGAATAACGTAGCGCTCGGAAAACGTGCACAGTAATTAATCAGAACACATAGTCTTACATAGATGAATAACAGTTTGAATACCCACATGACAAGAACAGTTTTGGCTGAGTTATGACCATCCTTAAATAATTTTCATAAACGATGTCGCTTAATCATTTAACTCATGGTTGCTCTCTCTAACATGTCTTATTTGTTTTCCCCCTTAGCTAACAATGCCAACATTCCCTGTTGTTGTGAAGATTGGACATGCTCATTCAGGCATGGGAAAGGTGCAGATGCTACTTACTGCATGTTAGAAGGCTGGGTGTTTGTCTAAAATAATATGCATGTTCTTTTGTTTCCTGGATATTTTAACTTTTCGCTGTCCAAATTCTGTCTCAGATCCCTACCCTTGCGAATCTCTGCTTGTGTATTGTTCAAGAAAGCATCTCTCTCTAGGAAAATACTAAACCGCATAATATATTTTCACACTGATACCTTTTCAGTTTATGCGTTGTCCTATATAGGACATTCTTTGAAACATGCCGAGATGCTTTCTCAAAGCAGAACCTTAGTTAGTAGTTTAGTTGACTGCAGTGAAACTACTTAAGGGTCAAGGTCTGTTTGCACAATCCAACTTTTTGGACCTGGGAATATAAGAAGGTTTTGCCTTGGTTCTTTATTAGTTTCAGGTTGATACTGAACTTTTATTCATTTCCTATCTTAATGTATTCTCTGTGATTGTTTCATACCACTATATAACTACTGCTTTCTTTCTCCAAAGTAATTGCATTTCAGTGGTGAGTACAGTTGTTTTGATATCACTTATCTCACAATGATGGTTCAATGGGATATGATTTAAGTCCCGCTTTCATTGATGTCAGTGAAAATTTCTAGGCGTTACCAGATTAACCACTTTCACTGAAAACACTTCAGTGCTTTAAGTGTTCTAGATTTTAAAATAAATCATCAGAGAATAGTTACATTTATCATCTTGAATCTCCAAAAGCTCCATGAACACAATATTTGCCACTAGCAATAGAAATAGAAAACTGATTGAATTGTATTTTATTCAGTAATTACACAACTTGTACTGTATGTTACGTTCGTTTGCCTATGACTGTTCTGGTTTATTTCATACTTAGTAAGTCAGTGGAAATACAGTAGCCAATTTAATTGAGAGCAGAATTAACCACTAATGACTTCAACTGCAGTTTCTGTGGATTGCATATGTGAAGTATTAGAATGTTTATACTGTACTTTCAATATTCAACTCTCATTTCTAGAAAAGGGAAATAATGCACAGAAATGTTTAGCATATCAAATGTCTAGAAATAAATCCAGATTTTTTTAGCTATAAAATATTTTTAATTCTTAAAGATCAAATGCCAGTCTTTCATAGTGAAATGCTTACTGTCAGAGTCCAAATAAAGGTTCTCCTCATACCCCAGTCCTCTCTAAAGGCATTGCTAGGAGTAGTGTTTCCATGGGTTATGATTAGACTTGCATATGCTATCAAGTTTTCAGAAACTAAGTTGAAACCAGGCATTGTGTCTGGTTTTGTGACTCTCAAAAGGCAAATTGGTCTGTATTCTTCTCCATCTGAGAGCTGAGAGCAAATACTTAGGGCTTATGACTTCTTCTAGCTTCATCAGACTCCATTTAACATGCAAGTCCCTTCTCACAGCCATGACACTCTGGCCCACAGGTTCCCTTTTAAGTACCAGATGGCAGTGGAAGCAAGCAAGACGCTGGGCTTGCAAGGAGTGACAAACTCTCCTACTATTAGATAACATGAGAAATACTAATCCCTGCCTCCTTTCCTCACCATTCTGAAATGTACTTTGGGTCAGTGTGTTGGAGTTCCAGTTTCCCTCTCCCATTTTCTACTAGACATCTCTTCTGAGTCACTTTTTCTCCCCACTTCGGCCAGCTTCCTTTAAGTCAACCATAGAGGTGTGCCCTCCCTGTCCAAAAGTAATGTCTCTGTCCTCCATCTATCCTCTAAAGTCTACTTCTCCTTCTCTCCCTAAATCAATATTCCCCACTTTTCCACCTCCCTCTTATTTCAAGATGTTAAAGTTGATGAGTTTAGTACCACTCACCGTCTTAGCACAGTGTTCCACAACTAGTAAATCCCACTCCTAGAAAGCCTGACTCCTTGCAGAGAAGTCGGAAAAATGAGAAAAACTGGTTCTGTTGTCTTGAGCCAACCCTCTGTGCTCCATGTGAATGTGCACTCATCAGCATATCATGACCCTTCATCTCCTCCCTCCTGGGTGATACATGATGTGATAGTACCTGGTGGGCTCCATATACATTTAGTTACATGAGCAATTTACAGAAGCAACAAGAATTCTATATAAATTAGTGTTGCGTATTATCACACCTTGAAAACTTCTAAGGCCTGCAGATCTAAAATTAACGGTCAACACTTAAAAAAAAAAATTTGAAAAGCAAAATAAAATTCCACTGTCTGCAAATTGCTATCTACAGTTGAACAGGTAATATTTTGCCTAGAAAAATAGACACTTCAATGCAGGAATGTTATAGAATCTAGAAATCAGATAAAATATCCAATACTTTTTTTAATAAACTGATGCTGTCAAAAAACGTACTTCTCATGAATGCCATTTGCAACTGAATTCTACATTTTATTCCTAATTACTCTTTTTTCTTTTGTATATGCTGTTTACTTGTGCTATGATGACTACAGATCAAGGTAGACAACCACTACGATTTTCAGGACATAGCCAGCGTGGTAGCACTTACTCAGACCTACGCCACTACTGAACCCTTCATAGACTCCAAATATGACATCAGGATCCAAAAGATAGGCAGTAACTACAAAGCATACATGTGAGCCAAAAACTTATATTCTTTCATCCTTTTGTTTCAAAATTGATAAGCACCAATAAGATTAAGACTGTTGGATGCATCTCTGAGCTGATGTGGTGACTCCATGCCTCCAATGTCATACTCTCTGGAAAGACAGTATTTTAGACTTTTAGATTTATCAAGATTTGTTTTTAAGTTGATTGTAACTGGGAGGAGGAGAATAAGACAACAGGTGGGCCTGCCAGAGTGTTTTTTCTGCTAACCTTTGTTTATTTTTTCATTTAAAGAGAGGAGTGTTTGGAAGGGGATTTGTTTTTATAAAGTACTTGTTAAATCAGACTCCTTTGTATCTTTTCACCAACTTTTTTCTCCCTCTAAGGATAGTTAGATGGCATTCATTCACACAAACCTGAATTGTAACACTTTAATGGAACAAAGTACTCTCCTTTTAACGTAGCACATGTAAGAAAAATTCTCATCTTACAGTGGCCTTCACATATATGGATGAAAATCTCTTCTAATTTTAGAATCCAGGTGTTTGCTTAAAGATCATTGTGGGATTTGCAGGGAGTGTTGCAAGCGACCTTGAACAATTCAACATAGCCTTGAAGGAAATAGAATGAGAAAGCAAGTAATGAAGCAAGCGCAGAAAGTGAGCTGAAGATAAAAATGTTTTGAAGCACAGATGTGAGACCGAAACTAGAAGATGCGTGTCTTGATTAACAGCACCATTTAAAAGCTTAGCCGTGGCATGTGAACAGCAGGGGTTAACCAATCCATGAACAAACTAGAGCGTGTGGACAGCTAGTGAATCTATATAAGCACAAACTTGTAAGCAATAAAGGTCTCTGGTTTTGCCCGCGCCAGAGTCCATGAATCAATCCCTACAGATCATGACTATACGAGAGGCTAAAAGGATGATTCAGTTTCATAGGCAACATTAAGCTAGAGCAGCAAAACAGGTTATCGTGTAGTAGTTGAGCTATGGTAACTGTGTTTAAGCATATTTTTACTATATTTCAATTATGAAGCAAGGTAATCTGTCATAAACTCATTTCATTCATGTTTTTAAGACAAGTTAGATCATCTCATGTCTTTGTTCCATCATACTTACAATTCTGAGGCAGGAAAAATATAACAGAACATGGATAAAAATACATATGCACTTACATATGCACACCCACATACACATGCAAAGATATTTCTCTAGGAACCCCTGGAACATTGGAGGGATCAGAGGTTTCTTGTATGTTGACATTTGTAAGGTACAGTCAAATTCTTTATCAGTAAAAACAACTGAACTCCAAGCAAACCATAAATACTAAGAGAAGCAGAAGTTGGAGCAGGGTTAAAGGAAATGTTTACAATGTTTTATAATATTAAAGACAGGGCTAGCATTAAGTGTCAAGTAATTTAGGAACAGCCAACAAGCTCTATGAGAAAGTAGAACCTTTTGCCCAGGGTGGGGGGGAAGGGGCAAAATTTATCTCCTTAGGTTGATACTGGAAGGCCACATACTCCTGACTTGTCCCCTAAGACATTACTGTCACAAGGTCATAACTGTATGAGTAACTGCTGGCCTCTCCTGACATGCCACTTGAAGGGGTATTTGAGAAAGAACATCAAAGATAGGCCTTTCAAGAACAACTCAGTTGTCCATCTACCTCTCACTGTACATCTGAGGGGCCTCAAGAAAGCACAACACAGAACTGGGTGGAAATACTGTTCCCATAGGTCAGATCCATCCAGCAGTATGGACACTCAGTCCTTCTGCTTTACTTTGAACCCAGAACTATCTAAATTTTGCAAAGACAGTGTGTTGGAAAGATAGAACACTCAAAGAGCTTGTGAGGATCAAGACATTTCTGGAATCCTTCGCCAGTGAAGTTCAGTGTTCTTAGTGATGCAGGACAGAAACTCTGTAACTCCAGCTCCCTACAGAATTTCAGGTCTGTTGGGCCTACCCCACGTCTCCCTCTAGGCAAGAAGAATCATAAACAAATCCTTCTGAATGACACAGCTTTTAGCCCCTGGCTTCTCCAGGAAAGTTAATTCCAATTGTGCTTGTTTGTCTTACATTGGTGTTCCAGACTGTTGACTTTTCCTGGCTTTAGCCCCATATCTGGAGACATCCATCCTACTTTTTCTGATAGCACCATACCCTACACCCCAAGGTCACCTATCTGTCCAAAACACATCTTGGTCCAGTCCCGCCGCTTTCCCAGACCAATTCTGTCGTTCTGCCTCTTAGTCCTTACCCCTTATGCCTAACCTTTTTTATTGCCCCAGGTTCTCCCTTGCCCCTTTTATTCTACTCAGTGCCATTCAACAGACTTGTTCTCCCTCTACCTCCAGTCACCACTCAGCCTTCTTTCTCTATCCCAGACCTTTTCATACAACTACTTCTGCCTCTTCAAAGCTAGGATAGTACTTCTCTCTCTTGTTGGTGCTTTAACAGGCAGATTTATTATGTTGTTCTACCCATCTCTCCCCTCCTCTGTTGTTTATAACAAACAGAGTTGATTTGTCTCTGTCTTACAGCTCCCAAGTGGCAGAGCCTTAGGAATAGGCCCAACTCTTAATGGTTATGACACACCGCCAGATACCAGCAGTTAGATGCAATATTAGTAACTTGATGGTTCGTTCCCTATGGTAGAAATTGGACCACTACATTTTGTAGGAGAGAGCCCTACATTTTTTTTCTTTGACTTGATATTTAAATGCTGTTCAGTATCTGGAATAATTTCGGAAGAGTCAGCCGTGGTAAATTTATCATTTTCAAACATAAATGTTTCTTCTTCACAGAAGAAGCAGTTGGCCTAAGGGATGGCAAAAATAAGTTAAAATGACAGCCTGTTCCTCCTACCTTTTATTTATTTTTAAGTTTCTGCTCAGAAACTATGGGTTCATCCAAATGCTAAAAGTCTAGCAGTCATTTTTTCTCTAGAGTCTTTCATACAGTTAAATCACACACAAAAAAATATGAAATACCAATCCATTGTTACAAAGCATCATGAAAAGGAGAAAATTTACCAAATGTCTGAAAAATTCTTCATATGCATACATATACATTATGTCAGTAGAATATTATTTTACAGCTGGTTCTCATTTTGTTCTGTGACACAGGAACAGAGTACTTAGAGAACCACCACAAAAAATACCAGCTGAACATTTGTTTTTGTAGCTTAAAGAGAGTTATTAAGAGCTTCAGTTTTATAATTCTGTGGGAAATTGTGGTATAAGTGGATCCATGACTCACGGAACACTGATGCTTATCATCTGTCAGTAGAGATTATAGCCAAAATGCAACATCAGGTCCCTCTAAATACCACAGCTCCTCAAAACGCTTTGTGACACATACTTAACTACTCTTGGGACCATTACAGAATTCTGACTTCAAGGAAATAGAGTTAAAGGGTCACACACAATGAAGAAAAACAGAAATACAAAAACACTACATCTAAATGTCTTCTTCAAAAGCAATAGTCCAAATCCATCGCTTAATGTACTTTGATCAAAAGGCCAATAAAACAAAAGCAGAGCACATCAGCCAAAGAAGGACAGTGCTATAGAATCAAACCACTAAGCAGGCTACCTACACAAGAACTGTAGATAGACATTTCTACGTATTTGTCTGATGACAAGTCCCTGTCCCAACAATTTGGATTGCGTACTTTAAATGGTACTAAATAAAGCAGAAAAGTGTTGGAAAAGGGGGAGCTCAAGTTACTATGAATTGTTTATACTAATCATAATTCCTTTTCCCCCAATTTTAAAACAGTTCTTCCTTCTTTGCAAAGACCAAATCAAGTGAAAACATGTTAAGCCTAAGTGTAAAACACTTAAAAGTGTTAGGAGTTGTTTTCTCTATTATTCAGTATTTAGTGAAAGAGGAGGAAATAATGATGTGAAAGACCCTTAGCAATTATCAGAACAGAAATGAAGAAGGGTGGGAAGCCTACGTATTTCAGTAGAAGAAATCATATATGAATTACAGAAATCATATCTAAGGTTTAAAGTGCCAGATGGTCTGGTCAGGTACTTTTGTATCACTTAACCATGGTCTAATGGAACCCCTGTTGTTTTGGAGTTCTGTGTCACAGACCTGGCATCAACGGCTCCAGCCCACAAGCTGTTGAGATGACACCAGTTAGTTCTGTGTCCATCGCATCCCTCTCAGTCCTCATCTGGTCCCTACAGCATCGTTACAGCCAGCCAAGCATCCAGTCATGAGACTTCAGGTTCAACAGGGGACCTTTCACACTGTGTAGTGAAAGCATGGCTTAAAGCAAACGATTTTTTCTTCTCTAGTCGGTAATGCTGAGATTACTTCAGTGCAGCTGAGGATCTTGAACTAAATACTTGCTAAAAGTCTTCAGGACAATTTTTTTTTTTTTTTCTGATTTGGTCACATCTTTCTTCCTAAAAGAGCTTAAATAGTACATGCTAATAATGCCTTTGAGAAGTCTGCAATAGAGTTGAATTGCGATTTATAAGAAGTATGCTCTCTGATGCAGAATATATGTGTAGAGTAGTAAGGAACTTAAAATTTTTAATTTGTAAGTAGACACACATACATAAATATCACTTTAAAAAATGAAGCAGAAATCACAAAATAGCCTTATTACTGGGCAAAGTTACCTTACACACAGCACTCAACATGTACATTCCCGTTTCACTAGTTTGTCCCGCATCACCAAAGAACATAGCATCTTAGAAGAACTTTATGCTTTAAAGTTCAGCTAACTTTATAAGACTCCCATAGAAAAGTCAACATTCCCCTGCAATCGCTACTGACCCTCGTAATTAGGTTAATATAGAAAAATGGAGAGAAAACTATAGCTGCTGCCTAATATACTTTTGATACGTTACAGATGTTCCTATTATTTTACTAACTGGAAACACTTCATAATTTGTATCTCTAGCCTGTATTCCCAGTACAGCATTTATGTTTCAGAAAACAGTAATCTTCTCAGCCCTAGTAGCAGTCTTAAGGTCTGAGGAGAAAAAAACTTTATATGATTTTTTTTTAGAGGTTAGATAAAAGATGGTATACTCAAGCCCTGACATGAACCATTTAGATTATATTAGTAAACTAGCAAAGACTGAAAACAGGAGAAGAAACCAAAATCCAGCTCTACAAGAGATCTGAGATCACTTCAGAGATGTTAAAAACATAGATACCTTGATTTGCAAGTATTGGCACCTAACCCTGCAGTGGTATGGATTTTAAATGAGAAGCTGAAGCTTCAGTCTCCTGACGTTTGCAGTAACAGTATGTTACAGGCTATTCAAGCCATTTATAACTGGTAACAGCTTATTGTTAACACTTTCACTTCATCATAGTAGGGCTTTTTTTAAAAAGTCTTAAATGAATAAATGGGGACCAGCAGTTTCACAGCATGGACATACTTCATAACATGCCTACGGTGAAGTATTACTGACAAATGCAATGCCTGTTAGAATTCTTCGTGTTTTAGATGTTCTGTTACAAGCTGCCAGATATGACAAAGGTGTAAATACTGCTAGAGTATTAATGTGAAAATCAGAGTAATTTAAGAGATAGTGAAGATATAGAACCACTGGCTGTCTTTGTAATATTTTCCCCCTTTCAGGAGAACTTCCATATCTGGAAACTGGAAGACAAACACAGGCTCTGCAATGTTGGAACAAATTGCTATGTCAGATAAGTAAGTCGAGTGTCATGTAAAAGGTAATTTTTTTAAAAAAAAGCAATTTTATTTTAAATTAATTTTTAAAAAATCACTTTGTTGATATGCAATTCATAGTAAATGCATATCTGCATATCTTGCATTCATATTTTGGGTTTAAAATCTTTGAATTAGATGAAAGAACATGAGCCAAGAGTTCCATATGACTTGCCTCAGAGTTAACTACCTGACTGAAGCTTATTTCGCTCATGTCATCATTCCAGCTCTGTACTTTGGTTTACTGTGCTTTTCTTTTTCTCTCCCATCCTGATGCTGGATACTTTTTGCACTCCAGTCAAAAAAATTCTCCTTGCAATACCATTTTGAAGCTCAGGTGTTCTGTTGTAGAACTGTTCTGTCAGTACTGCTCATTTGCTCCAAGCACTTCCACAACATATAGACCTCTTTTCCTTGCAAAATCAATCTGTGAGGCTTTTTGATGACTATGAATTTTCTTTTGTTCAGCTTCTCCAAAGCTTGCTACCAGTGGAAACTGAAAAAAGTCTGTACAATAACAGTGTAATTTAAAAGGTGTTTTAAAGTTCAACAGTAGTCTTTTTCTGGTGGTTTTGGCTTGGTGTTTTCTGTTTTTTGTTTTTTTTTTTTTTTGTAAAGTCTGGAACCTACAACTTGGCCCCTCTTATGAGCTGAGGGAGACACAGGAACTGAACCATTGCTTGCCCTGGAAAGGTGAAAACAAATAAGACGGGAATTACAACTCCCTGCTCTCCAACCTCTGTCTAGACTGTGCCCTCACTGATCTCCCCTCTGGGGATGGAGTGGAGCCACGTTATTTTCTCTTTCTCATTCCCCTCCCACCTTCCTTTAGAAAGTGAGGTTGGGCCTTCACTGAGAGGGAAAAGAAAGCATGTGCTTTCATGTGTATAATTACAGTCCATGAGCTATTCCTCTGTTAAAACACAGGCACTTTAGTTTTGCTGTGAGGAAAACTAAACAATATCAAGTATGGGTAATGAGTATGAAATGCTAACCTTGCCTAGCTAACTCACTGTGAATGCTCTATGTACTTCACTTCTACTTCCATTTTTGAATGTAGGATAATGAGAGCGTAATAAGTATTTTCCCATTTAATTAAACACTGGCCAACAAAACAAAACTTCTTTCATGCTGATGAAGGCAAAAGCATAGAAAACATGGATGTTTTCTCGTAACAGAAAGGGGTATGTATCGCATAACCCTGCTTTTTGTTTGATTACCCACTGATGTGCACAAAGCAGAGCAAGGAAGAGAAGGGAAAACTGAAGTTTTCTGAAGAGTTGAAGTAGCTTAACAGCATCCCCAAAAGCAATCAAATCTGATGCATGTGCATTTCATTTATAATACATGTCATGAATTAGGAAGCAGTGTTTTGAAAGCACTGCCTGAGTTGACATTGTTGACTGACTACAAATCTTAGCCTAGAAATGTAGAAAAGCAAGCAGAGTGTAGCACAGTAAGAGACAATGACGAGGCAGAGAACAAGCATATTCCAATGTTACGCATTCTTATTGACCCCTCTGTTTCTGAGCGGCACTGCTCCCCAGACAGGACCAGAAGATGACAGACCAATGCTAAGTGTGCACACTTCATCTGGCACACCAGGTATTTCGTGGAAGACACCTGAGGAGCAGTACTTTATTGTCTGTCAGTTCTAAGGCTGCTGCACACTATATTGGCTCTGGGAAAATAAGAACTGTGACCTCTTGTCAAACCTACTGTGCAAGCCTTGGGTTTAGAACACTACAGGCTAGTCCATCCAAGACCTTGCTTCCCAAATGTAACTATATTTTTCCAGCTCTGTGTTTGTTGGCAGAAAAGAAACTATTAAAAATACTTTCATAAAACTGATTGATGTTTCAGTATTTTAAAGAAAATGTCTTAATTTTTTTTCATATAAAGTCCAGATATTTACTGCTAAAGACAAGTTTTGCTGGTCTCATGACTTTCTAAGATACATGTTGGTATTTTACAGCAAAAAAAATGTTATTTGTAAGCAAGTGCATGCAAGCAGTCCAGTCAGTCAGTGCATCTACAGCTGTTGAAATTGTCAGGCATCCAAAAAACCCTCTCATTTTGAACAAAAAACATGTTTCTCACAGGAAAAAAATTATTTTCATTGCTAAAATGTTACCATCAGGATCTTTTCAAACAGTTGTATCAATTTCTTTGTATTCTGCTTAAAAGAAAACTTTTCCACTGGAACAGACTTGATATAAGAAAATATAAAGAATGTGACCTAATAAGTTTACTTGGAAAGAATGCTATTACTGAAGATATTTATATATGAATAAGACTCTCAGCCCAGCAACAAGTTTCCTTTGATCTTATAGTGAAGTCAAATGCTATGTTTATTACATCAATTTTTTTGCAATGGAAAACACTGTAATGTGGCAAATCTATCATCACGGCTCAATGGCTGGATCAGGAGAGAGCAGGAGAGGGTCTGTAAAAGGAAATAGCTCTCATTTATACTCAAATACTAGACAATGTAAGAGAAAAATGTTCATAATAAATGGCTGCTTTAAAACTGGGGTTTTTTTTTAAGCAAAACATGTCCTTCAGTTGGTGGAACTGTCATATCATCACTTACTGGTGCCCATGCACAACTGTGCTATTAGTTATTGAAAATTCTGAATGCTATTTTGTGTCCTATGAGTCAATCCTTGCCATTGAACAAACACACACAGCTTATATCACCTCAGAATGCTCTCAGGAAAGTATTGTGGCTCCTTGTTATGTCACTGCCAGTTCTGTACTTGAGCACAGGAATTGCCTCACTATTTTTCTAGTAAGTCCCACTTCATTCCCTTGTTAGTCAGATAATCTCTCTATTCATAGAGAAGGAAAGAAAAATAAATCATATTACTGCATGTAGAATGCGTAAACTGTCCATTCCTCTGTATTTCTTACCATCAGGTTAGAAAATACCTGGAGGAGTTCTTGTTTTCAGTACTGTATGAAACACTAGCCTTTTTTAGGAGTTGTAGAATTCCTGAGAATTCTTTAAATTTCAGTTGAATTTTGCTGTAGTTGTCTATAACCCTACATGAAGAATATTATCCTGGTCTGCATGCTACTTACACGTAGTGTCATACATCTGTTTCTCTTGCATCATCTTAAAGGTTGTTTTGTCTTGATTTTTCTTTTGCCTTGTTCAGTGATAAACATATAGAGCTATCATTGCTACTTTGGAATACAGTTGGGTCCATAATTTAAGATGGAGACTCTCATTCTGGTTTTCCTGATAAAAGAATAAAACCCATCCATAATTAAGTACACTACCAAGCATAATAGGCCAGGGGACTGTCAGACGTGAATCTGTGCACAGATGCACAATTTTGAATTTCACAGGCGAACAGAAGCCCTATGCCCTACTTTCTGAAACCCCTTGGCATCACTGAAGCCACAAAAACTGATCAGATGATAAATCTTCCTTCTGTGGAGTTCTCACGTGAAGTACAGCCACAACCAGCACGCTGTACTAGCATAAAGGCACTGGAAATGCAGGGTGGGATACAGCTAAATGCTATTTGTGTTTCAGCATATCTTATCTTCAGGTTACTCACAGTTTAGAGCAGACACTTGTTTGGACCAATGTAAACTGGGCCAGAATCCAGCATAGCACTAGGTCAGGATACAGAGCCACAGCTTTTCTGGATTCTACTGGGAGAAGTAGAGTAATCAGGCCAGTACCTCTAAGCTACTATTCTGGGAAATACAAATTCAGTAAAACTGACAATATAGTGAAAATTCTGAATTTAGAGCAAAAGTTATATAAAATACATTATTAGGTACGCCTATAGAAAAACAAGAGCCTGATGAGATACTCACATTAAAAATTATTTTTATGAAACAGGTACAAGCTTTGGGTTGACACCTGTTCTGAAATATTTGGTGGTTTGGACATCTGTGCTGTTAAAGCTGTACATGGAAAGGATGGAAAAGATTATATTTTTGAGGTAAGCAATCCCACTCTTTTCAATATATTCTTTTACATATTACAAACACCCAAGTAAGGAACATTTTTGATAGTTAGGCATTGACTTACGTGTGTTTCAGGAAAGGCTGTGTATTTTTGAGCAACATTTAAATTATAATACAAAGCCACATGTCCAAGTTAGTGGCAACACTTGCTGGAAAATGTAACCATATATATGGTAATGTCTTTTAGTGTTTGAGGAAATGTACACAAACTACAAAACAAAACCAAATGTGGATGCCACATTTTCCCAACCCTTATGATTTCTTTCCTGAGCAGGCTTACCAGTTTTTCCTGGAAGGTTTATAGATAGCACTATCCCAAGGGAACCCCAACAAAATTACACCTTTACATGGAAAGGGAAATTAAGAATGAAATGGAAACAAGTTTACTTTTTTCTAGCCTAAATATTACCTTTAAGATCTGATTTCTCATGAATCAGAAGTTTCTGCAGTAGGTAATGCTGAAAAGTTTAAGTTTTTCATTTACCTTAAACTTATTATGGATAAATGTAACTCTCTCTAGCCATAAAACAAGCTATCACCACTTGCTTATCACACAATTCAAGATTTCGTCAGCATCTTCTATGTTTTTAGGATTTTATTCAGAAGGTAGGCAAGGATCTTCAGAATCTCCCCACTCCAAAAGAGGTCGATATTTGCTAAAGCAAAAGTAATAATGTTTTTTCTAAATCATGAGAGTAACCTGGAGACTATGGGTTAACCCTTTCTAGTTATTTGTGTCCGTTTAGAACAGAAAAGCTTTGTACAAGTAAAAATGTTTGTTCTGTCACAATGTTAACCAGCTCTATGTACTTTCTTCTCTTATAGTTTCACAAATTTATTTATCACTATTGCAATTGCTAATAATTCCCAAATCAATCAATAGCACTTTAAAGAACTGAGCAGCTTGCAGGATTAAACCTTCAGCCAAACAAACAGAACTAATCGCTACCTCCTGATATGCTGAAGAAGATTTCAAGAAGTCATATTTCCTTAGTCTGCTGGGCCAAATCAGAACATACTGTGTCTTACTGTCTCAAAACTCACTGTACCATAAAATTTAGGATTCCATACTAAACCTCCTCTGTTGCTCCTTCATATAGTGCAGTTTTTCCTCTCCACCACACCCCAAAGTTCCTGTTAAATCTGTGATGCTTGACTCAATGAAATCTGGCTGAGATTTGAAAGAGTGAAAAAAAAGTGTTTTCCTCTTTCTGAAGACACATGGCTCTGACTTATGATGATACAATGTAGAGGACATTCCTAACATAGGATTTGTCATGTGTGCTACTTCACAGCTTGGCTGTAGCCACGGGTGTAGCTTGGACACTTCTGCTTACTGAGAAGGTATTGATTTCTGCTCACAAGTAAGGTCCTCTCCAGCAGTTGGGCTTTGGCAGCCTCCCAGATGCCATTTAAAGCTTTGTAGGATGCTCGGCAGTTCCTATAGCCCCTAAACATCTCAGAGGATGGATCCCAGCATTTTCCACACACCCCCATTTATCTAAATTGTTTACATTTGAGATAGTTCATGCTGATTTGGCTGGCTTTACTCCAATAAATTTCGACCCCACAATTTAACCTATAAAATAAAGAAATGTGGATTAATTTAAGACATAATACCTTAGTTATCTTACCTCATAAGACAATGGTTAAAAACTGAAAGATTGCACGCAAAAAGATACAAAACCAGAGTAAATTTGCATTTAACAAGCACACTCTTGTAAGAACTAGAGGTTTCAGACATAAAACAATGTTGTTTCTTATACACTGTACCTAAAGCTAGTCTGAGAAATGATTGGCATCAACCCACACTACTTAGTCCCTCCTACCGATCTCTTTCATTCCCTGCTTTCTTTTCATCCTGCTCTTTCTGTACAGAGTTGGGCCTTTTCCGCTTCCAGTGGAAGTGAAGGATGTCTCCTTTGTTTTAACAGTGGACACTTCCGTGACATTCCTCAGTTAGCAAATTCCTGTCAGACTAAATGTGTTTCACTTTCATTTACTGAACTTGAGTGTTTCCACATTTTTTTATATTGCGCAATTTCTCAAATTTTTGAGCAAAGCCAGCATGCATCATCAGCTTCCACTGAAGTGAGTCACACAAACTAATTCCTGCATCAGGCCTGGGAGGTCTCTTGGGTAGGAGGAGAAGGGGGAGCAGGTTTTTGAAAATGAAATAGCCAGTGCAAATTATATAATGGACAAATAGAGTACCTCACTTCCCACTCGAAAATGAAATAGCCAGTGCAAATTATATGGACAAATAGAGTACCTCACTTCCCACTTCCGAACAAATCCCCTAATTTTCCATGCCAGATAAAGTCATACTTTTAAAAAAACAGAATTCTAAGAACTGCAGGATACATCAGGAACTGGGTTTATAGAGCATTTTAAGTAGTGTATATAATAGATCTTGCAATTAAAAGAAAGAGTGCATAGAAGTGTGATAATTCTTGCTGTTCTACAAAATCAGCTGAATTGTTTGAAAGATGGTTATGCTCATCAGCAAGAATATTTAGGATTTGTGTAAGACATTGAAATGTAGAATTGTTAGCAAAATTCACATCCAACAGAACATCTGTAAAACTTACAATCTAAAAAGTTACTAAAAAGCCAGCTTACATCTACAGTTACTACACTATAATTTTAACAGTTATCACACTATAATTCTATGATACGATGAAAAGTAGAAGACCGTCTGCACCATTATAGGAAAAATTTTCGCCTTTTGTGTATTTTCAACAAGGGAAAATAAATGTTTTATTAAAGCTAGCACGTACATGCTGCAATCAAAAAACAGGTGCTGAGCACAACAATCAGTCTGTAAATACTGGGTTTACACTCTGATTGCAGTCCATACTGAAACCTATGCTCTCGTGTTTTCAAGGTGACTGGTACATGTACTACAAAACTAAAGGCTTCTGTATTACTGACACTTTAATTCTGCAGATATGATCTGACAAGAAACATACAAACTTCCTAATGTATGAAATAATGTGTGCAGACATGTTCATCCTGATTTTTCAGTTTGAACATTCAACCAGTGTAACCAGCAATAGGAAAGTGTACGTATGGGTCATCCAGCTTCAGAGTGAATGTGAATCAGGGTAGTATTCTACTAAAGTCTCCTTCATATACTCAGCATTCTAGACAGAAATTAACTTTGGAGGGATTTTCTGTAATAAGGTGGGGAGAGCAGCATTTTACAGGAATAACTGCTTAGTACATAGTACATGTTTTGACAAAGGTGTTCAACAAGAGCTTTAGGATATGCATAATCCAAGACAATAGTTTTTAAATACTCACAGTGTTTAAGTATTACATGTAACAACTCATCTTCTTACAAAAATGAATTCCAAACTACTGTTAGAAGATGTAACGCGTAAATGACTTTTTATAGGACTATTTCTGGAAGGTTATTAATTAATTTCATATTGTCCTTTCCTTTTTTACCATATAGCAATAATTTTATTATTTCAGTGTTGTAGCCATTCAACTGCTTTGTGATTGTCATTTTGTCATTCCTTGGTTTAACATTCTGCTTTCTTTTATTTCCCAAAACCATGGAGCAACAAATTGTACCAGTGGCTGATACTAGAGAATCAGTACAACATTGTGTCTCATGAATCTAATGTTCTAGCTGTACTTCTTAAAAAACACTACTATAAAGTGATTTTTTTATCCATGATCTAGTACAGTACGCTTACACTGCAGGTAAGAATGCGTTGGCTCTTAATGTTAGACCCAGTCATCATGCCCCATTTCTTCAAAAGGGTAAACATAGGGTTTTTTTCTCTTTTAGCTTCTCTAATAGTTTCTCTTCTATATATATTTGATTAAAAGGATGAGAATTTTTAAATAACTTGTTCTCATTTTAAAGCCTCATGGCCATTCAAGTTATGCAAAGTGTGCTTGCTGTGTAAGTAGTGTAATGACTATTCAGGAATAATATGGAAGGATTAGAGAACTAAAATGAAAGAAAAAAAATTAAGGATGTTTAGAGACACTGAAGTATAGTTCTAGATACTTAATTTCTGCATACATAAACCTTGTTATGAAATAAATAAATGTACGGGTCTTTATTACTGTTACCTTCTTGTGGATGTCTCCCTTGTGGGATGCGCATGTTCCTTTGAGTAGGTCTCAATGTAATAAAAAACTAAGAAATAGCCGTGTAAGTACAGCTTCTCACGTGTTATAGCTTTGGGTGCTAGATTTGGGTCCATTTTATAGATGTGGGTCGGTTCCCCAGTGCTAGTTTGTGCATCAGTATCTTCACATTTCTATGACCACCCTAGAGATTTCTAGTCATTTGAACAAGCTGAATACTACTTTTTCAATACTACTGTTATTTCCCAAACGTTATAAAAAGGATACATTTTTAGTGTTCCATTAATTTTTCCACACTGCTATAGATGCTACTCCCAGGAGAATTTTTAAGGATGTCCATTTGTGCCTTCTTGCTATGCAGTTGAGGGATACCTTATGCATCCCCAGCAAAAAAAATCCAGACCGATTTGTCTGAAGACAAGAAGGACAGAATATTGAAGTCATAATATTATTCAAGCACAATACAACCTGTGTTTTTCTGTGAACCTACAAGCTCTCTATAGTTTTCTTAGATGGGGGCTGTAAGAGGTAACTTTGACTTTTAAAAGAAGTTGATTTTCTAAAAGTTGTTCCCTGGAAGAAATTACCTTCTCTAGAAGAACCTAGTGGTTCTTCTTGTCTTTTACTGCTATCTCCAAACTCTTACTAGGGAGCGATGAGCTAATTAAAGAATCACTTAGCTAAAAGGAAGGGTTGTCAGGTTGATCAGGAGGAAGACCAAGTTATTATTCTGTGTAACAATCTTAGCTATTCATTTAGGGTCTATTCTTTTTACCTCAATTGGAATACTCAGCTGCCAAGCATCATTGTGCCAGAGAAAAGCTGTAGAAACAAGAATTTTATTAACACATCGTTGCAACATACAGCTTTTTAACTGTCTCACCAGTTCTTGCTAATAAGACATCAAAGTAAGGTCCA